TGGGAGTGGTGCTGGTCCCGGAGGTGCTCGTACTGGAGGTACTGGAGCTGCTGGGGCTGGAGGTGCTGAGCCTGAGGGTGCTGCTGCTGGAGGCACTGAGGCTGGAGACCCTGGGATTGGAGGTGCCGGTTCTGGGGGTGCTACTGTTGGTGGAGCTGGTCCTGGAGGAGCTGGCGCTGAGGGTTCTGGAGCTGCTGGAGGTGCTGGCGCTGGTGGCGCTGGAGCTGGAGGTTCTGGAGCTGCTGAGGGTGCTGGTGCTGGAGGTTCTGGAGCTGCTGGAGGTACTGGCGCTGGTGGCGCTGGAGCTGGAGGTTCTGGAGCTGCTGAGGGTGCTGGTGCTGGAGGTTCTGGAGCTGCTGGAGGTACTGGCGCTGGTGGCGCTGGAGCTGGAGGTTCTGGAGCTGCTGAGGGTGCTGGCGCTGGAGGTTCTGGAGCTGCTGGAGGTGCTGGAGCTGCTGGGGGTACTGGAGCTGCTGGTGCTGGTGTCACTGCACAGCCGCGCTTGTTCTTCGCTCCACCGTCTCCGTCGTCTCAGCCACCGCCTGACTCTGTGCTTCGCCAGGTTCTTAGTCTCCCTTCGTCTACTGGTCTTCCGTTACAGCCTGGCTCACCGCTGCCTGCTCCTTCTCCTTACACTGAGCAGCTAGGGGGTCTTACTGAGCGTCGTGAGCCTGCGTCGCGTCCTGTCTCGCCTGTTTGTTCTGGTCGTTCCGGTCGTCGTGTTCCTCGTCCGCGTCTGCCGGCTGTCCCCGACACCCACCTCGTAGTCCGTCGTCCTTCCTCTCCTCCGCAGCGTGTTCCTCTGCCGTCCCCTCCTGCGTCTTCTCTGCCTGTCGTTGCGGACCCCGAGTCTGACCGGTTTCGTGCTGAGCACCCTACTGTCACGCGTCTGCTAGCCACTGTTGTCACTGACCCGTCGTTTGAGTCTGCTGCTACGTCTGCCTTAGTTGCTGAGCTTGTTGACTTTGCTGCTGCCTGTCGTCTAGACTACGCCGCTAGTCTTGTTGCTGAGTCTGAGTCTGTCTGTCCTCCGTCCGTCGGGGGTGAGTGTGCTCTTGGCACGGGCGTCCTTGAGGACAGGCAGGAGGACCTTGAGTGTCTTGCAGCCGCTGCGCCTCATCTCGTGTCCATGCTGCTTGCCCCTGAGGGAGACCCGGATGCTCCAGACATTCCGACCCCGCGCTCTTACGCTGAGGCGATCGCGGGTGAGTACTCCTCTCAGTGGCAGACAGCCATGGACGCAGAGATGGCATCCTGGAAGTCCACAGGCACCTACGTCGACGAGGTTCCCCCACCTGGGGCGAACATCATCAGTGGCATGTGGATTTTCAGGGTGAAGCGGCCGCCAGGTTCTCCGCCTGCCTTCAAGGCGCGTTACGTTGCACGAGATTTCAGTCAGCGAGAGGGAGTAGACTTCTTCCATACCTTCTCCCCCACCCCGAAGATGACCACTCTTCGGGTGCTGCTGCACGTTGCCGCTCAGCGTGACTACGAGCTTCACTCTCTTGACTTCAGCACAGCCTTCTTACAGGGCAGCCTGCACGAGGAGATCTGGCTGCGCCGCCCACCTGGCTTCACTGGGTCGTTCCCTCCTGGTACCCAGTGGAGCCTCAGGCGGCCGGTCTACGGTCTCCTCCAGGCGCCACGTGAGTGGCATGACACACTGAGGACGACACTTGCGGCTCTTGGGTTTGCTCCGTCGACTGCTGACCCGTCGCTGTTTCTGCGCACCGACACTTCGCTGCCGCCGTTCTACATCCTCGTGTACGTCGACGACTTGGTCTTTGCCACTGCTGACACTGAGGCTTTCGCCCAGGTGAAGTCGGAGTTGCAGAAGAGACACACGTGCACAGACCTGGGTGAGCTGACAAGCTATCTTGGCTTGCGGATCACCCGGGACAGAGCACGCCGCACCATCACACTGACTCAGTCACACATGGTGCAGCAGGTCCTTCAGCGCTTCGGCTTCACCTGGTCCTCGGCACAGCACACTCCTCTGGGTACAGGTCACTCGCTCTCAGCTCCACCTTCGGACGAGTCCGTAGAGCCGAGTGGTCCTTACCCAGAGCTAGTGGGCTGCCTCATGTACCTGATGACCTGCACTCGTCCTGACCTTGCGTACCCTCTTGGCCTTCTGGCTCGCTACGTGGCTCCTGGTCCGCACCGAAAGGTGCACATGGATGCTGCTAAGAGGGTACTACGCTACTTGTGTAGTACATCGGGCATGGGGCTCGTGCTTGGAGGACGGAGCGACGTTGTCCTCACTGGGCACTCAGACGCTTCTTGGGTTGACGACCAGGCTACGCAGCGGTCGTCACAGGGTTACACCTTCAGCCTTGGCTCTGGTTCGGTTTCTTGGCGTTCTACACGCTCGTCTTCAGTTCTCAGCTCCAGTTGTGAGGCTGAGATCTACGCCACAGCCATGGCTGCACAGGAGTTACGTTGGCTCACCTACCTGCTGACCGACTTGGGAGAGCGGCCTCGTTCTCCTCCAGTGCTGTACGTCGACAACAAGGCCGCCATTGCCTTGTGTCAGGAGCCCAGACTGGAGCACAGAACGAAGCACATTGCTCTGCGTTACTTCCTGGCTCGAGAGTTGCAGCAGCGTGGTCAGCTTCGTCTTGCTCACGTGGCCACTCGGGCCAACACTGCTGATATATTCACCAAGGCGCTTCCGTCTGGTGATCATCAGCGTTTCTGCACTCTGTTAGGCCTTGTGCCCACGTTTCCTCACTTGCTGTAGACTTTGCTTGTACTGTAATCTATATATACCTGCATGCTTGCTCTGTTAGGTAGAGATCACTGTGCTGTTGTTGTTGCATATATACCTCTGCATGTGAACTGGCCTTGTGGCCCTTTGTTTGTGCTCGGTGTGTGTGGTGACTTTGTGATCCACCCTGAGCTTGCTTTGCTTCTCTTGACTGGTCTTGTGACCCCTTGCTCTCCCCCACTTTGCCTATGGGGGTGTGTCAAAGTATATGCATGTTCTATATGTGTAGGCTGTAGTGGGGTAGCCAATATGGGGTACAGCCCCTTTTAGGGTTTCATACTTGTACCCAACTCTTTCATAGTTCATTCATCCCTGCTTGATTCTGACACGGGTAGCAGCAGCAGCGCGCAGGCAGCGTGCGGGCAGGGCGCGCGTATGCCTCGGGCAGTGCGCAGGCAGGCAGCGCGAGCAGGGCAGCGTGCGGGTCGCGCGCTAGGCAGCAAGTGGGCAGCGCGACGGGCAGGGCAGAGCGCCTGGGGCAGCGCAGGCAGGGCAGCGTGAGGAACGCTGTTCGGGTAGGGCAGTACGGGCAATTCGGGCAGTTCGGGCAGGTCTAAACTAGCGGTGGGCCCTAACGGAGCGGTCCTACGGAGGATGGACCCGCTCTGGATACCATGTCAGAAATAGAACGTAGGGATGATGGACTAGGTAGCAAGGATGAGTACAAATACTACCTAACCCTAAAGTGTTGTACCCCTTAGAGTATGCCCCACTACAGCTTAGAGATAACAAATGCAATTTGACAACAGCCTACTCTTCTTGCTGTTGACCACAGACTCACTGCTCCTGTTCCCGATGAGCCTTTGAGCCTAATGGTCGCTACACAGACCTTGTGGGTTGCCTCGTGTACCTGATGACTTGCACTCGTCCGGACCTCGCTTACCCTCTCAGCGTCCTGGCTCGCATTGTTGGAATGGGAGACACCTTCCTGTGCACTGGACGGCTGCTACGAGGGTAGCGAAGTACCTGGCGATTACATCAGGAATGGGGCTTGTGCTTGGAGGGACACTGCCAGTGCGACTTACCGGGCACTACGACTCGTCCTCGGTCGTCGTCTGTGGCTTCGTTCGGTGCTGAGGCCGAGATCTGCGCTGGTGCCATGGCTGCTGAGGAGATCCGCTGGCTGACTTTCTTGCTCACTGGCCTTGGTGAGCGGCCTAGCTCCGCACCGACCTTGTTCGCTGACAACAAGGCCATGATCCTTCAGTGTCGAGAGCCTCGGCTAGAGCGCAGAGTGAAGCACATCAGCATGCGGTACTTCCGGCCAGGCACGCTTGGTCTTTGTGGCATCAGCGGCCAACACTGCGGACATCTTTACCAAGGCCCTCCCGCTGGTGACCACCACAGGTTTTGTTCACAGCTTGGCCTTGTTCAGACAGGCCCTCGTCTGTTGTAGACGTGCCTCTTGTTTGTTACTCTGCTTGTTCTGTTGTTTGTATATATATATATATATGAACTCCTGAACTGACCTTGTGGCCGTTTGTCTCAGAGGCTGGCTTGTTGTACCAACCTGAGTTGCTTGCGACCTCTTGTCTTAGTGGCTAGACTGATTGAGCCACCTGAATTGTTGCTTCTCTTGCTTGTGTGATGCTCCTCACCTAGCCTATGGGGGTGTCAAAACATATACCGCACGTTAGGCTATAGTGAGTAGCAAAGTAGTGAGTACAACCATTTATAGGGTTGGTGTTTGTATCACATGCCTTGCTACCGTCATCGCCCGGATAGAAGACATATATGTCTTATCTTATACATTAGAAAAAAAGCTTGCTGTGTCTTGTAATTGGGACGGTTTAGGGTGTCTTACAATTCTTATAAATGGACAAAAAACCGTTTAGAAGATACCCCCTCGTCATAAGATTGCCCCTAACCCATACACTGGCGTAACTCGTGCACACCGACAGGTGTCTTATAATCAGGAACACCCATCTATAAGATACACCCGTTTTAGAGACACCCCTTGTCTTCAATTCGACACTGTCTTATATCCGGGCGATGACGGTAGTCATTTCATTCCACTCTAGTACTTCTGACATGAAGCCTCATGGCTACCCTGCCCTGGCCTCCCAGTCCCTCTACCCATTGCCTCTCATCTCCATGGCATTGCTGCCAGTGGTGGCCTTGTTTGCCTGAGTGCCTGTCAACCCATAGTACCCTTGCGTTGTGGCTCGGGAGAATTCAGCAAACGAGCAACCAGGCTTCCACCGGTCCTCTAGGCTTGGCACCACCGAGCCTATTTCACGTGCAGTGGCATGGAAAGCACGAGCCTCTTGCCAAGTGCAGGGAGTAGGTGCAGCGGTGGTGTAAAAAGCATGGGGGGGTGGTGTGAGGGAGGGAGGGCAGGGGGGATATGGAGACGTTGATGGGAGGGAGGAAAATGGGGAGGAGGAGGAGGAGGAGGAGGAGGAGGAGGAGGAGGAGGAGGAGGAGGGGGGGGGGGGGGGGGGGGGAGGAGGAGGAGGAGGAGGAGGAGGAGGAGGAGGAGGAGGAGGAGGAGGAGGAGGAGGAGGAGGAGGAGGAGGAGGAGGAGGAGGAGCGAGGAAGGCCATGGATGACATCACGAGGCAGGAAGCCAGAAGGAGGGGAGAGGGGCAGGTGCCAGGGGGGTTGGAGGAACACAGCAAGCATGTCACGACTCCACGCACACGCGGGGTGGATGGCACGTGCTGAACAAGGAGCAGCCTCGCCACTGCGCCCTTCCCTGATCCTCACACTTCCTTCTGGTAAAGATTCCTGCGCTTGAAAGGGTTCACGAGCCTTATCAAGCACCCTGTGCATGGTTGACTGCACAACATCCCCTTCCACGCCTGCTGTGCCTCCCTCACTACCCGACGCCACACCACTACCTGTTACTGCATGCTCTGGGCTTAATACCTTGCCTGCCCCTGCTACTGCTTCTGCCCCTGCTCCTCCTGCCTCTGTCTCTCCCCCAGCAGCGCCACCCCACCCCCCTGGTCGCACCACGCAGTGCACAGCGGCTCTGAGGCGGCCCCCTGACAGCACCTGAGCTGCCTCGCCCACCTGCACGGCCACACAGCGCGCTGGCAGCTCCACACGCACCGGTGAACGGGAAAGTGGGTCCCACACGTGCAGACCCGCACATGCCGCCGTGGCAACACTGGCGCTGTTGGTGGTGGCGCTGGTGGTGGTGCTGCTGCTGCTGCTGCTGCTGGTGCTGCTGCTGCTGGTGCTGCCGTTGCTGCTGCTAAGAAAATCAGATGCGACTCCTGAAGCTGCTGTCGAGGGAAACAGGTCTGAGGAGGAAGCCGGGCAGGCAGAGGAGAGAGGGCATGCGAGGTGGAAGTCAGAAGGGGAGGCAGCAGGCACGTAGAGGGGCGCAACAAGGGCAGTGAACAGGCCGTAGTCATAGTGCCACTGCTGCCACAGGGGCAGGTGGGATGAGAGAGACGAGCAGCATGGGATGGAGGGGCGTGAAGGGCCTTGCCTGGTTGTGGTGGCCCCTCGTGAGTCCATAGCAGCATGGCCCTCAGGAGGTCCCGCTGCCCTTACCCTCACACCATCATCGGTAGCATCAGAACTATTTGCCTGCTGCTGTGGCTGCTGTTGCTGCTGCTGATGCCTGTGCTGCTGCTGGCTTGGATCTCGTCTTGGCTCGTGCTTTCGTCCCGCCTGCTCTGACCCCTCACTCAACACACCAGTGCCACCACACCGTCCCACGTGCCCTTTCCTTGCCTCGCCTCCCTTTTCCCCTCTTTTTCCCCTCACTCCCCGCACATGCTCACACACAGGCCACTGACCAGCTTGCCTCACCTGCCCACACCCACTCTCATCCCCGTCCCCCCTCCCCTTCCGCCTCCTCCCTCCCTGCTCCGCTCCACCACTCCCCCACTCCAGTTCCCCCCATGCATGGTAGTGAATTAAGCGTGCCTTGCCTGTGCCCCCTACTATCGCCTCCACCAGACGCACCTCCCCTCTCTCCTGGTGCTGCTTCTGCTGCTGCTGCTGCTGCTGCTCTTCTCCCCACCTTGGCTCACTCCCATAGTCACATCCCACATCACCACCATCACTGCTGCTGCAGGTGCAGCAAAGCGCCCCTTGGTCTGCAGGCAGGACAGCAGAACCAGGAACAGGAGCAGCAGCACAGGGCGAGTTGCTGCCTGCTGCTCGCTTCCCTGCCACGCGTGTGCGAGGGAGGGCGCGTGAGCGCGTGCAGGGCGGGCTGGGCGGGAGGGAGTGGTTGAGAGCGGCGTCACACAGCAGAGCGACGAGCAGTGCGGCATGAGAGGCGTGCGAGGCGAGGCGGAGCATGAGAGGGCGCAGGAGAGAGAGCGGAGGGGAGGTGGCGGTGGGGATGGCGCACATGCCATGGGAAGGAGGCTGCAGCAGAGAAGGGAGGAGGGACGTTAGTGGATGATCAAGTTGCGAAGGGCAGTGGGACGATAATGGTGGTGATGGTGATGGTGATGGTGATGGTGATGGTGATGGTGATGGTGATGGTGACGGTGACGGTGACGGTGATGGTGATGGTGATGGTAATTGTGATGGTGGTTGTGATGCTGAAGGCAGTGCCGTGCAAGTATAGTTTGTTGGTGTTGCCGTGGGGTTCTGTTCAGGGTGCGTTGTTGTTGTCTGTGCCACGCGCGGCCGAGAACTGGCCCCATGACTGCTCTGCATGCCTCTCTTGCTCTCTGCAGCAGCCGCTGTGCTGCGAGGAGGAAGAGGACGAGAGGGCAGAGGCACGTTGATAAAGGAGGAGACAGGGCGCTTGGAATTGGAGAGAGGCAGGTCGGAACCCACGCCGTGCTCCTGACATGTGGCGTGCAGCGTGGATGCGCGAGAGAGAGAGAGAGAGAGAGAGAGAGAGAGAGAGAGAGAGAGAGAGAGAGAGAGAGAGAGAGCGGAGGTAGAGAGAATAGGGGGCAGTGGGAGAGGGTAGATGGGGGGAGAACACACACAAGCACACACATGCGGAATGAAAGACGGCCATCTGAGAAGCGAAGCAGTTGCGCGGAGGGTTACGTAAGACGCCCTTGCCAGACAGGGCATGACAGAGCATGACAGGGGATGACAGGAGATGACAGGGGATGACCCGCCCGCAGCTTACCCGCAGGAAAGCGTTTCGGCATGACGGGTGCATAAGAGCGAGTCGCCGGGCCAGAGGGAGCAACTGCAGTCGCACCGCCTCCACATGCGGCACGTCCTTAATCGCCACTATGCCGGGCCGTAGCAGTCCAGCAGCTGCCGTGCGACACGCCATGCGACAGCTATCGCATCAGTGCCACCTGTCGCAGGCGATTCGCCACTGCGACCGTTGCTCATGCCGTGGCTCACTATATAACCTGAATCCTCTGTACAAGAAGTTGCACCAATGCTTCGTGCTTCTATCGAGACGTCGCCTTCTACCGAAACTCCTGACTCGTCGGCGACATCATGTGATGTGTCGTGGGGGGTTGAGCCCAGTGCGCGAGCGACAGCCACGGCAGTAGTGCGAAGGTCCGCATAGTCGATGATGGGGAGGGCGGGGCGCGAAGGAGCGTCGTCCATAGCTGACGGCCGTCAGGTTTGACGGTGATTGGAGTAGATTTCGAGGCTTTGTGCTGGGTCTTGGGTCCTCAGTTAAAGCCTCCGTACATGATGGATGTACAGCATTTCAAGAGTAAGATGATTGAACCTGAATCTCCCAAAACCAGGGTTAGGACGCGGTGAAAGTGAGAATATCGCAGGATCGTGCGTGTATATCGAACCGCAGACTCGATTGGGCGGCTCGGTTGGCGAAACGATGCGCCCACGCGGTTGTAACGATCGCCCCTGCGGGATGGGTTGGATGTTACGGAATGAAGATTTCGGCTTTGCCTGCGACACCGTCTAAGAAAAAACCCCTTCGCCCAAGTACATCTGAGACTTTCGCAACCAACAGGGCAACTAGCTTGAAATTCTGCGAAATGCCAGGATCATGCGCGTCTCAGTTATCGCTCTGCGAAATTTCAGCACTTCGCAGGCATCAGCATCAATCGTGCATGGTGTGATAGGTTCGTGCACATCATCTGCACATTGATGCTGCGGAAAGTTTGACAGCGATCAGTGATCAGTCGCATTCACTTACTGTGCAAAAAAATTGGACAGAAACCTCACTGTAGCATGGTTACACAGTAGTAAACAGGGTAACCAATCCGCACACCGATCGCAACTGATGATCGATCGTCTACTTTTACCGCGTCCTTACCATTTGCCATGACAAGAAGCGTACCACCGCTGGGCAAGCATCTGCAGCGTACCCAACCGAGAAAGCGGGAGGAACCCTGAAGCACACGACAATCTCGAAGCTGTTGGGGGCAAACGGGTGTGTCGCCTGATCTGTCAAATGCCGGGCCGTGATCTCCACGGCACGCTAGAATGGCCTCCTGAACTGGAGAGTCATCTCTCTCACATGCTGCTCAGCTCAGTGATGCAGTTGGCCACAGGCGCAATCGCTGGCAAAAATCACTCACAGTCAGTTGGTAGTCTGATACGTAGAGTTTTATACGTAGTAATTAATCTCTCGCTTTAGCCGATCGTATGGAGCCACCCACGCACATTCACGCCCTTCCTGACGATGTTCTCACGAGGATTTTTTGGCACTTCGAGCAGCCAGAGCCTAGAAAAGTGGGCAGCGATTGTTTGTGGGATGTCCCATTCTTCGAGTCCCACCCCGAAGTACCTCTCTGCAAACCTTTCATTTGAAAAGGCCATTCGTCAGGAAATTAAGACGCCGTTACCCATTCCTCCTCCCTCTGCGGACGCTCACCGTATTCTCCTCGTGGCGGCCGTCTGCCGTCGCTGGCGCGGTCTCACTCAGCGTTGCGTCTCCGCGCTTCTCGTCCGAGACAATCTCGTCGTGTCTCGCCAGGCTCTCGCGAGTGCTGTCGCTGCCTTACCGAACCTGACCCATCTTCACCTGTGCGACGGCAGCGTCGAGACTCTCGACGACGCCTTCCTCGCTCACCACGCGTCGTCATGTCCCAACCTCGCCATCCTCCACGTCGGAAGCAGAATAACGCCTGTGGATTGCATACGCGGTTATGACGCTCAACTCGGAAAGGACGAGCACCCTCCCATCACAGAAGCTGGCTTGGATCGCTTCTTTCGGCAGAGCACTCGGCTAGAGCAGCTTGCTCTTTACTGCCACGACCCGTCTGTCGAATTCCCCGCGTCCTTCTTTCAGCTGCCGCGTCTGCACACTCTCGCGCTCACACATGCTTCGCCGCTCGAAGCTCCCGATTTAAGTAACCTTTCATCCCTCACCAGCCTGCATTTTCCCTCCGGAGATATTAACTACGAGCAAGTGGCAAGCGTCGCTCGCCTCCCACGCATCACCACCTTGTCAATCTCAGATGAAGCCTCAGTTTACCGTGGTGACGGCTTTGCACGTGACTTCGACATGGCACAGATGCCTCTGCTCAAGTCGTTACAATTCGTCCAGATGCTCCCTGCTGCATCGCCATGTACCAGCCTAGAACGGCTGGAGATCGTAAACAAGAACCTGATCGGACACTTAGATAAGCTTTCGCCAGACCTGCTGACCTATCAACTCGGAAAGCTGATGCCGAGTCTTCGCGAGCTGAGCCTTCGCCAGAGATTCGCTGCTGAGTACGTTCCTGGTCATATCACCACTCTGCCTGTCACTTCTCTAACTGTCTTGGAGAGCCTGACACTTTTCGAGTGTAACCGGCTTTCCAGCCTGCCCGAGGAGATCGGCTGCTTGCATGCCCTGAAGACCCTCGTGCTGCACAGGCTGCCTCTCGTGGCCCTCCCGGACTCCCTCTGCCACCTGCCTTCCCTCGAGACATTCTTCCTCATTGAATGCATCACCAGCCGGCAGCTCCTCCAGCTGCCCGCAGATTTCTGCTGCCTCACGTCGCTCCAGTCTCTCGCTATTCTGAGGATGCCGCGGGTGAGGCTTCCGGAGAACATTGGAGAGCTTCCAAGGCTGCACACTCTGTATTTAAATGGTCAGTACCAGCAGCCGCGACTGCCACTCTCCTTCACCCAGCTGACTTCATTGACCAGGCTTGAACTGGCCGTGTGCACGATTCGTGAGCTTCACGAGGACTTGGGGAACCTCACTAACCTGCTGGAGTTGCACATTCGCTCCTGTCCTCTGCTCCAGAAGCTTCCAGAATCTCTGACAAGCCTCTCGAGCCTTGAAACCCTTACGGTTGATGACTGTGTGAAGCTCGTCTCGATTCCCAGGAGGCTAGACAGCCTTGGGAGGCTCAAATGGCTGGAGCTGACCGGGTGTTATGATCAGACTCAGCCTCCTACGTCTCTGCCGCTCTCTCTTGAGGTCTTGAGTCTTGGAAACAGCTACCACGTGGCTGATCTGCCGGACGTCTCCATGCTGCCTTGGCTGAGAAAGCTCTCCTTGAAGCTGGTTGGTGCGGAGGAGAGGATGGGTGTTAGCAGCAGCTTGGCGCGCGTGAAGCAGCTGGAGTTGGCGCTGCAGGAGGAGGCTGTGGAGCTGCCGTTCTCCCTTGCACTGCTCCCCCAGCTGCACACGCTGGTCATGTGGAACGCGGGGAAGATGCAGCGGCTTCCAAGCGACATGGGATGGGCTGTGCCGCAGCTGAGGGTTCTGCAGATCCACTGTGCGCGGGAATTGAGGGAGCTGCCGGACAGCATTGGCGCTGCATCCCGCCTGCGCCAGCTGCACCTCTTTGACTGCCCCGCACTGCACCACCTGCCTGCTTCTCTCGCCCAGCTTGCGTGCCTCCACGAGTTGCATGTGGAAAACAGCGGCCTGCGCTGCCTTCCTTCAGGCATTGCACAATTTACCAGGCTTCGCAGTCTTAGCTTGCATGGCTGTGTGGAGCTGCAGGGTCTGCCAGACGATCTCACGGAGCTGAAAATGCTGCAATACTTGGGCATTAAGAATTGCAGCAAGGATGTGTGGGGTGGGTGGGACAGAGTATTAGAACCTCGTGGGCTTCAAAGTCGGTATGGGTTGAGGATAGAATGTTCTTGGTGGTAAGATTGCATGTGTGGCCTTGATTGTGTGATGTGTAAACCTGGTTCAAGCTGTTAGTATCTCATTGTGAAGATGCTGACACCTCTCACGGCAAAGTTATGCTTGATTATCGGCGCACATTGATGATGCATTTCACCGGATTTATGCTATGTCCTGCGTCCGAGGCTGACTTGCGTCGCTTTCGGACATTGCACACCCAGAACTGCGCTCAAATCGGCTTCCAAGTTAATTCCTAATTGCCATCGCTATATCTTACTGAGTTTTCACTTGACGCTATAACGTTAGAATCACTGGGTAGGGTAAATATAATTCCCAAGCACTCATCCTTTCACAGCTCATAGCACTCGGATTTGTTTTGCGGCTATTGACATATAGCTCATCTTCGTTAGGAAGCTGGAGGTCAGGGATGGGCTCATGTGCTGGTCACTTCCACCCACCTCAGATGGCACGTCCGTCGTGGCAGTCCACGTGTTCATGGGTACGAACATCACGTCACACGTTTTCGTGGTGGCAGTCGCTCAAGACAACTGGATAGTTTCTGCGGGCGCCAACGAAGTTCGACGGCTTTCGTGAGCTTCTTCTTGTGCCAATCAATTCGCAATTGTGGCGGGGTCCCCCCTTGCTCCGTTTGTGTGATTCGCACACTTCCGCTCCGTCTCGTCCGCCCGTCTACGTTAGCCAGCGAGGGCAGGCTCTCATCAACCATCCATACCCAACCAATGCCCCCCTGTCCAGTAATCCGGAAATGTGGGATCGCCACGCTGGTCACCCTCGCCTCGTCAAGGCCAAGGCCATGTACAAAATGGTTTTCGTCCGCTTTTCCGTCTGCGATCCGTCGGTTCAACGTCAAACGAGCGGTTCCCTCCCACATTCGTGAAGATCCCAAGGTTCCTTTACTTTCGTCTCTAATCACCCCCGTGCCATCTCACCTCCTGTTTCCCTTCGCACAGCCTTATCCAATTTCAAGGCATTCCTATTGCCTGTGATATTGGCTGCACTGATCACCTGCTTTGCTACCCGTAGTCATGGAGGCCTCCGTTGGCGTTCTGCAGTCCAGGTCCATGTCATCCTCATCCTTTTATGGATCGCGGCTCCATGCGAAGCCGTCTTCCCTCCCGGCGCAAAGAAATGCCGGTGGAGCGGTTTCAGTTCGTGCTGACATGTGGAAGAAGCTCGGTGGGCGAGGTCTGATCAGGGAGGACATTTTGAAGAGCGATAAAGCCAATGAGGTCTTGTGGAACCAGCCAGTAAGACCCGCGAAGGACACGACGAAGGAGAAGCTGCCGATCGACAAGGAACTCGTTGAGGGCTTTGACAAGGAGCTCGATGGCTTGACCGGCGGCTTTCCTGGTGGCGAGAAGGTGAGCCTTTCACAGTACAACATTTAGTTGCGGACCAACTCGTTACATACACTCCTCGAGCGCACGTTAAGCGTGCCCGTATAAAGCACCAGGTGCGATCGCCATGTACGTACGCATTGTGCTTTCAGTCGTCACCCAGATAGGCTCAACCATTTTTACTTCATACATCGATTGCATTCTGCCCTAAAAAGACATCGATGTTTTGGTACGTCCCGGACTCGCTGACGAGTTCGTACCGTATATTTTTATACCGTATGTACCAACAGCACTTTCTACGTCACTATTGATAGCGCAATGCCTCCCTTCAAAAAGGGCTCCTTGTACCAACTGACCCATGTTCCTTCCACTGCCATTGTCCTCTCAGGGGCTCGCTAAATTCCTGAAAAACAACCCTCTGCCAGCCAAATACGCAGCGGCTTCTTCGGAGCTCGCTAACGTTCAAAAGCGGTTGTCTGAAGCCGCAGCTGCCGCCGCCTCCTCCGTTCCCAAGCCCCTTGCGCCACCGTTGCTCATGCCTGGCATGACTGTCAAGGTTATCAATCCCAAGGACGCTTATTACCAGTTCTCTGGCATCGTCCAAAGACTGACTGACGGGAATGTCGCTGTGCTGTTTGAGGGTGGCAACTGGGACAAGCTGGTGACCTTCCGACTGTCTGAATTGGAAAGGACAAAGAAGGGACCTCCCGGCTCTAACCCGAAGTCCGCGTCCCTCCAGTCAGACCCTGCCTTCCAGAAGTAGGTTATTCAGGTGTATGATGTAGCCATTCTTCTTCATGCCTATTGGACGACGATTACCAAGTCCTATTGTGCTGTTTCAATATGGAACCTGTAAATTCTTTGCTTAGCGGTAGCATGAGTTGCAACTTAACTATTGTCTTCAACCTGTGGCCAATTTCTTGAGGAAGGAATCACAACTAATGGGCTCCATTAACTACCTTAGTTGCCTAGAAGAGCAGTGTCAGGCAACCGTTTGAAGGCCAGTAAACGTTGTCAGGCACATGAAGGTCAAAACTTATCCCACTGTACAGATGTTATACCAACACTCCACAGCTACAGAAAACTAGGCATGCAAGCTGAATAGAGTGTAAACAAAGTTGCCCAGAAATTGAAGCAACATCCACAGAGCAGACGAGAAACACCAGCAGGTACAGCTATTTTCACGACACGGGTGGGGAATCCTGGCGTGCCATGGTGAAGAGGTGCCTCCCGCCTGTGGCCTCTAGATCCGCCAGCACTCTCTCCGCTGCCCTGTACCCGCCCACCAGTGCCTTGCCCACTGCCAGGCCGTCCCGGTGGTTGCCTGGGAGCAGAGAGGTGTTGGGAGGGAGGGAACACTGAGAGGTGCGGGCAGAGGGGCACGGAGGAAGTACATGCAGCAGCAGGGAGTGCATGCAGCAGCAGGGAGTGCATGCAGCACTAGACCTGGATGCTCTTTTGAAATGTCTCAAAGTTCAGCTGGGTATGGGTCGACTAATAAAACCTGACAGCCTCGGCTCAAACAGCACAAAGTGACAGCCGAGTATGAATTGATGTATTTGTCATCTACAAACGCACGTGCATCAATCGGCCGCCCGTGGCAGAAACCGGTGCACTAGGTGACCTTTGAGTCGACTCAAAAGTCGCCGAGTATGAATTGTTGTATTTGTCATCTACAAACACACGTGCATCAATCGGCCGCCCGTGGCAGAAACCGGTGCACTTGAGAGGCAAGCACGAGAACGAGGACAGGTGGGGAAGGAGGGAACAAGAAGCTCATCACAGACGACAGACGCTAACCCGACACTCTCAACCCTCCACCCACACCCCTTGAACCCTAATCCGGCGGCGCACCTGCCCAGTAGAAGAAGGGCGTGGTGGCCTCTATCTTGCGCATGCTCTCCAACACACCGCCATAGCCGTGCGTGAGCTCCGGGAAGGCGTCATGCCACACCATGTGCCTGGGGGAGCGCGGAGGGGAAGGGGGAGCGGTGGCGTGTGCGGGGCAAGAAGGGCGTGGTGGCCTCTATCTTTCCCATGCTATCCATCACGCCGCCATAGCCGTGCGTGAGCTCCAAAACATGTGCCTGGGGAAGCACGGAGGAGGAGCCGGATTGGTCGGGTGTGCGGGGCAAGGTGGGGACGGGAACCGTGCGGGGGAACGCATGGGGGTGAAGGAGATTGGTGCCCGTGGTTGGAGGGGCATTGGATGGCACTGCTTGTAAGTAATGAGGCGTACAAAGGAGGAGATGGAAGGGAAGGGAAGAGAAGGGGGGAGGGAAGAGAAGGCAAGGGAAGGGAAGGGGAGAGGGAGGAAGGCGGGTGTGGAGATAGGGTGGTGGAGGTGCGTACGAGGAGAAGATGGGCTTGGCCTTGACACCCAAGAGGCGCTGCAAGTCAGCTAGAGCCATGGCGTTCAGCTGCTCCCTGCCATGCCATGGCCATGATGTGTCATGTCATGCGATCATGTGCCATGCCGTGATGTGCCATGCCGTGATGTGCCATGCCATGATGTGCCATGCCATGATGTGCCATGCCGTGATGTGCCATGCCGTGATGTGCCATGCCATGATGTGCCATGCCGTGATGTGCCATGCCAAGATGTGCCATGCCATGATGTCTTACAGAAGCCCAAACAGTTCGGGAAAAAAAAAAAGAGGAAAAAAAATACTTGAGAGGAAAGACTTGTTGCCAGAGTTCAATGACAATGCGCAGGATGCAAGTGTGTGTGAGTTGGGTAGAGGCTTCCACGAAGCATAGAGCAACATGCATGTGTGGCTGAGTGTGGAGATTCAATGCATGTGCACAAACAAGCTGATACCGGAAACACACACAATCACACAAGCACTCTGCGTAGCCATTGCCTCTGTTTCTCCCCCCGTCACCCCTCTCCCCCTCTCCCCTAACTCTCCTCCCCCAGCCTAGCTGCTGCTGGTGCAAACGTCTCACTAGGCAGCTCACACGGAGGCAGAGCGCAGGCCCTTGAAGCGTGAGCCGCGCACGCGCGACGCGAGCAGCACCGTTTTCTTGTGTGCTTTGAGTCGACTAGAAAACCCCCCCACTCTGGCCGCACAACTCACACGGAGGCAGAGCGCAGGTTCTTGAAGCGTGAGCCACCCACGAAGGACGTGAGCAGCACCGTGCCCTTGGGGGCGCGCTGGGGGAACATGGCGGAGGAGAAGAGCGTGCCTGGGGGAGAGGAGGGGGACGGGAAGAGAGAGCATGGGAGGGGGGTGTAACGCTGAAAACATTCTTTGGGGTTGCACTGGGGAAGGTGGTGGAAGAGAAGAGCGTGCTTGAAGGTGGAGAGGGCTGCGGGGAGGGATGGACGAGCAACACAAGGGGTGCGGGGAGGGATGGACGAGCAACACAAGGGGTGTGAGAGACGTCCGGATTGGGGACGGAAGTGGGATGGGGCAAGTCGGATTAGGTTAGAAGCATCACTGTGCTTGTTAGATGCATGTTGGACGAGCAGGAGAGGGTCGGGAGAGCAGCGGACGATGGTTGAGAGTTCTAAGACAACTCTCAAAAGCAAAGGATGTGAGTGAGGGGCAAGAGCAAGGCTGAGGGGAGCAGTGCAAGCAAAGGTCGAGTCGAGGCAACAGGTCAGTCAACTGTTTCACCCAACAGCCACATAAACCCCTTTCTCAATCTCCCCTTCTGGACCCACTCCTCACTCTTCCCGATTCCTCACTCCCAAACTCGCCCGTCCCCCTCTCCACTTCCCAAAACACTCAGCCCAACCAAACACTCTACCTGCATTCCCCCTCACCCCTCCCCCCCTTTCCCCCCATTAAAGAATTTCGTCTTTACTTTTTTGTCTGACTGACACATTGACCATTCCCATTCATTGACCTTTAAAGACATTGCTTTCAGACCTAGCGTTTTGAACTGGTGGGATGCTGCTTCCTTGGTCGGCACGAGCACCCCAAAGCCGGGCAGGGCAGACGAAACATCCTCCTCGCGGAACGCATTCACCAGTAAGGCCATGGACTGGTACACGGGCAGCTGGATGGAAAGTTTTTGCGGCTGCCCGGACAGCTTGAAGGGCATGTTGGCGAGAGCGGAGAGAGGGGCCTGTTGGGTGGGAGGGCGGGGTCAAGTGGTATGCACAGGTGGGGTGGGGCGATGGTAACGCGGTGGTGGGGAGATGGTGGGGAGACAGTGAAGAGGCGTGGGAGATGGTGGGTGGAACAAGGATGGAGTGTGGCAAAAGACTGGTCAGCCAAAGTATCCCACCGCGAAGAAGGTACTGGGCCAAAGGAGGCTCGTTGACTTGTGTAGAAGAAATTAAAATTCCAGCGAAGGTGGTGCGTAACACCTCATGCGGTTTGTAGAAGGAAGGAAGGAACAAGTGAACTCGGATTACATCACTTCAAATCCCCGTACCCATCCGATTTCCCATCCCCATCCCTTTTCCCCATCCCCATCCCCATTCCCAACCCCCTCCCCCTCCCCCTCCCCCTCCCCCTCCCCATCCGCACCACTCCCACCCCCATCCCCACCCCTTACCGTGACAACAACAGCATCGAATCTCTCCGACCCTTCCTCCTTCCTCCCACCCTTGCCCTTGCCGCCACTGTCCCCGTCCCCCACGCGCGTGACCGAGAGGGACCAGGAGGAGCGGTGGGGGGGCGAGTGCAGGTCGCAGGAGAGGGAGTCTACGCGGTGGGAGAGACGCAGAGCGGACGCGGGGATGTGGGCCGCAAGGGAGAGAGGCAGCTCCTGGCATGGGACAGGGGAGTGTGCAGGTATTTGGTGGCGGAGGGGGGTGCAGCATGTGGTGGGGGAGGGGGGCACAGCACAGAGGGAGGAAGGCAGCGTACGGAGAGGCATGAGGGCGAGTGGAGATGGTATCATCAGAAGAGAAGATGGCTCTCATGAGGACAAGTGCAGGTCGCAGGAGAGGGCGTCCACGCGGTGGGAGGGAGAGGGCGGAGGCAGGGATGTGGGCCGCAAGGGAGAGAGGCAGCTCCTGGCACGGGAAGGAGGGAGTGCAGGTATCCGGTGGGGCAGGGGGGTGCAGAGGGAGGGAGGAAGGCGGAGGACGGAGAGGCATGGGAGAGAATGGGGAGCAAGCAATCATGAAAGGAGAGGGTGAGTGCAGGCATCACCATATCGTGGCTTTTAACTCCGCCTACTCGTTGTGAATCTTAGGGTTCTAATGCTTCGCTTCAACTCCTTCCTCCCCTCCTAGCTCGTGTGGATCCTCGCTCCTAAGCCATTCGATTGAGCCAGCCTCTTCACACCTGCTGCTTTGTCTCTGCGTAACAGCAGCAGTGCCAGCGGCAGCAAGAGACAGCGGCAGCGACAGAGAGAGGCAGCGAGAGAGGGTGAGGTCACACCTGCATGCCTGATTGAAAGGAGAATGAGACGCCCTTGGGCCGTGGGGTAAGGGCTTTGGACGATGATGCTGACGTGCTGCCTTGCTGCTTAGCCTGCTGCTTCCTGGCCTTGGCCTTGGCCATCTGAGTCTTCACCATTCCCAGCAGCAGAGATCCATGCCTGTGCACCGCATGGTACATACGGGCAGACCGACAAATGCACTCATGCAGATGCGTATGCGGATGCACAAGCACAAGCACATGCAGAAGCACATGCACATGCACATGCACATGCACATGCACACACGCATGTTCTCACATCCACAGTCACACATGCACGGAGACACATAGGAGAAGAGCCGCATGAACATGCATGTGCAGAGTATGTGCACTGCATACCACCAGGCTTAGGTCCTAGACACAGCAGACACGTGGTGAGAGTACAGGAGAGCGAGCTGAGGAGAAAGGGAGTGTGGAAGAGAGCACTCGTGAGGCTGACAGGAGAGGCACTCGTGAGGCTGACAGGAGAGGCACTCGTGAGCACTCATGATGGCACAAGACGGGTTGGCATCCTGGCATGCCCGGTGCACCGGCACAATTGCTGCTGCACTGGAAGAAGTATTCGTGTCATGTGCAAGCATGGAAGCACACACGTGTGCGCGTGCATGCATGTGTGCCATGCAAATGTGCATGATCTGCACGTGGGGAGGCATGGATTGCAAGCATGCAGCGCAGGCAGCGTGCGCCGTGCAGTGCAGGCAACCCCACCCCACCCCACTCCCTCTACCCCGCCCCGGCACTCACTGCTGCTCCAGCTCCCACACCTCGTGGAAGGCATGCTTCATCTGCGGTACAGCACACGGACCATGGGGACAAGGCGGGGAGAGAGAGGCGGGTGAGGGTAGCAGTGAGGGTTCAGGCAGGGAAGACAAGGTGTGCAGGGAGAAAGATGTGATGTGGCAGCAGGATGTATGGGCGGGAGATGGGATGGGAGGGGAGGATGGATGGGAGAAATGTGTGGCTGGAGAGAGAGGTCATGGAGTACGGCATTGCATGGCATGACATGGCATGGCATGACATGGCATGGAATGGCGTGGCATGGCATGGCATGACATGGCATGGAATGGCGTGGCATGGCATGGCATGACATGGCATGGAATGGCGTGGCATGAGATGGAATGGCACAGTATGGCATGGCACAGCACAGCACACGGCACAGCATTTCACAGCATGGCACGGCATGACATGGAATGGCACAGCATGGAATGGCATGGCAGGACATGGCACGGGGTGGCATACAAGGAGGTCGTTGGGGTTGGATCCCGTGGTGCCGGCACAGAAGGGGTCCACTATATAGTCCACTGGCTGCAGGGGCGGTGTGTGGTGTGCATGTGCGAGAAAGGGTGGAGAGGAAGAGGGCGGAGGGTAGCTTTGAACCAACTAGCCGCATGCACTCCCCACTGCCAGCACAGATGGAGTCCATGGGCTGGGAGAGCAGTGGGTGGGGTGCATGGGGGCGCATGGGGGTGCGCATGGGGTGCATGGGGCGCATGGGGGTGCGCATGGGGTGCATGGGGTGCATGTGTCGTGTGTGCAGGATGGAGGGGATGATGGGAGGGCTGGGGGATGACGAAAGGGAGAAGCGAGGAAGGGGAGGCAGAGGAGATGCTAAGATTATGCCCAGAAGGGGGTTATGGTTCCCACAGGGTGGTGTGAGGGTGTTGGAAGAGGCAGGAAGGAAGAAGAGCTGCAAGAGGAGAAGCAAGAGAAGGGGATGAAGAGCATGCGCAGCGAGAGGGCACGTGTGAGGGAGGATATGGTCTGTCTGGGAACGGGTCACTGATGCAGGCAACAGCCTTGGGTGGTGGCGTTTGGAGGGAGGGAGAATGATGCATGTGTTGCATGCACGTATGTGTTGCATACATGTGTGGTGTGGATGTATGCATGTGTGGGCGTGTGCATGTATGCATGTGTGGGCGTGTGCATGTATGCATGTGTGGGCGTGTGCATGTATGCATGTGTGGGCGTGTGCATGTATGCATGTGTGGGCGTGTGCATGTATGCATGTGTGGGCGTGTGCATGTATGCATGTGTGGGCGTGTGCATGTATGCATGTGTGGGCGTGTGCATGTATGCATGTGTGGGCGTGTGCATGTATGCATGTGTGGGCGTGTGCATGTATGCATGTGTGGGCGTGTGCATGTATGCATGTGTGGGCGTGTGCATGTATGCATGTGTGGGCGTGTGCATGTATGCATGTGTGGGCGTGTGCATGTATGCATGTGTGGGCGTGTGCATGTATGCATGTGTGGGCGTGTGCATGTATGCATGTGTGGGCGTGTGCATGTATGCATGTGTGGGCGTGTGCATGTATGCATGTGTGGGCGTGTGCATGTATGCATGTGTGGGCGTGTGCATGTATGCATGTGTGGGCGTGTGCATGTATGCATGTGTGGGCGTGTGCATGTATTGCATGTGTGGGCGTGTGCATGTATGCATGTGTGGGCGTGTGCATGTATGCATGTGTGGGCGTGTGCATGTATGCATGTTGGGCGTGTGCATGATTGCATGTGTGGGCGTGTGCATTGTATGCATGTGTGGGCGTATTATGCATTGCGTTGTGCATGTATGCATGTGTGGGCGTGTGCATGTATGCATGTGTGGGCGTGGTGCATGTATGCATGTGTGGGCGTGTGCATGTATTGCATGTGTGGGCGTGTGCATGTATGCATGTGTGGGCGTGTGCATGTATGCATGTGTGGGCGTGTGCATGTATGCATGTGTGGGCGTGTGCATGTATGCATGTGTGGGCGTGTGCATGTATGCATGTGTGGGCGTGTGCATGTATGCATGTGTGGGCGTGTGCAATGTATGCATGTGTGGGCGTGTGCATGTATGCATGTGTGGGCGTGTGCATGTATGCATGTGTGGGCGTGTGCATGTATGCATGTGTGGGCGTGTGCATGTATGCATGTGTGGGCGTGTGCATGTATGCATGTGTGGGCGTGTGCATGTATGCCATGTGTGGGCGTGTGCATGTATGCATGTGTGGGCGTGTGCATGTATGCATGTGTGGGCGTTGTGCATGTATGCATGTGTGGGCGTGTGCATGTATGCATGTGTGGGCGTGTGCATGTATGCATGTGTGGGCGTGTGCATGTATGCATGTGTGGGCGTGTGCATGTATGCATGTGTGGGCGTGTGCATGTATGCATGTGTGGGCGTGTGCATGTATGCATGTGTGGGCGTGTGCATGTATGCATGTGTGGGCGTGTGCATGTATGCATGTGTGGGCGTGTGCATGTATGCATGTGTGGGCGTGTGCATGTATGCATGTGTGGGCGTGTGCATGTATGCATGTGTGGGCGTGTGCATGTATGCATGTGTGGGCGTGTGCATGTATGCATGTGTGGGCGGTGCATGTATGCATGTGTGGCGTGTGCATGTATGCATGTGTGGGCGTGGCGTGTGCATGTATGCATGTGTGGGCGTGTGCATGTATGCATGTGTGGGCGTGTGCATGTATGCATGTGTGGGCGTGTGCATGTATGCATGTGTGGGCGTGTGCATGTATGCATGTGTGGGCGTGTGCATGTATGCATGTGTGGGCGTGTGCATGTATGCATGTGTGGGCGTGTGCATGTATGCATGTGTGGGCGTGTGCATGTATGCATGTGTGGGCGTGTGCATGTATGCATGTGTGGGCGTGTGCATGTATGCATGTGTGGGCGTGTGCATGTATGCATGTGTGGGCGTGTGCATGTATGCATGTGTGGGCGTGTGCATGTATGCATGTGTGGGCGTGTGCATGTATGCATGTGTGGGCGTGTGCATGTATGCATGTGTGGGCGTGTGCATGTATGCATGTGTGGGCGTGTGCATGTATGCATGTGTGGGCGTGTGCATGTATGCATGTGTGGGCGTGTGCATGTATGCATGTGTGGGCGTGTGCATGTATGCATGTGTGGGCGTGTGCATGTATGCATGTGTGGGCGTGTGCATGTATGCATGTGTGGGCGTGTGCATGTATGCATGTGTGGGCGTGTGCATGTATGCATGTGTGGGCGTGTGCATGTATGCATGTGTGGGCGTGTGCATGTATGCATGTGTGGGCGTGTGCATGTATGCATGTGTGGGCGTGTGCATGTATGCATGTGTGGGCGTGTGCATGTATGCATGTGTGGGCGTGTGCATGTATGCATGTGTGGGCGTGTGCATGTATGCATGTGTGGGCGTGTGCATGTATGCATGTGTGGGCGTGTGCATGTATGCATGTGTGGGCGTGTGCATGTATGCATGTGTGGGCGTGTGCATGTATGCATGTGTGGGCGTGTGCATGTATGCATGTGTGGGCGTTGTGCATGTATGCATGTGTGGGCGTGTGCATGTATGCATGTGTGGGGCGTGTGCATGTATGCATGTGTGGGCGTGTGCATGTATGCATGTGTGGGCGTGTGCATGTATGCATGTGTGGGCGTGTGCATGTATGCATGTGTGGCGTGTGCATGTATGCATGTGTGGGCGTGTGCATGTATGCATGTGTGGGCGTGTGCATGTATGCATGTGTGGGCGTGTGCATGTATGCATGTGTGGGCGTGTGCATGTATGCATGTGTGGGCGTGTGCATGTATGCATGTGTGGGCGTGTGCATGTATGCATGTGTGGGCGTGTGCATGTATGCATGTGTGGGCGTGTGCATGTATGCATGTGTGGGCGTGTGCATGTATGCATGTGTGGGCGTGTGCATGTATGCATGTGTGGGCGTGTGCATGTATGCATGTGTGGGCGTGTGCATGTATGCATGTGTGGGCGTGTGCATGTATGCATGTGTGGGCGTGTGCATGTATGCATGTGTGGGCGTGTGCATGTATGCATGTGTGGGCGTGTGCATGTATGCATGTGTGGGCGTGTGCATGTATGCATGTGTGGGCGTGTGCATGTATGCATGTGTGGGCGTGTGCATGTATGCATGTGTGGGCGTGTGCATGTATGCATGTGTGGGCGTGTGCATGTATGCATGTGTGGGCGTGTGCATGTATGCATGTGTGGGCGTGTGCATGTATGCATGTGTGGGCGTGTGCATGTATGCATGTGTGGGCGTGTGCATGTATGCATGTGTGGGCGTGTGCATGTATGCATGTGTGGGCGTGTGCATGTATGCATGTGTGGGCGTGTGCATGTATGCATGTGTGGGCGTGTGCATGTATGCATGTGTGGGCGTGTGCATGTATGCATGTGTGGGCGTGTGCATGTATGCATGTGTGGGCGTGTGCATGTATGCATGTGTGGGCGTGTGCATGTATGCATGTGTGGGCGTGTGCATGTATGCATGTGTGGGCGTGTGCATGTATGCATGTGTGGGCGTGTGCATGTATGCATGTGTGGGCGTGTGCATGTATGCATGTGTGGGCGTGTGCATGTATGCATGTGTGGGCGTGTGCATGTATGCATGTGTGGGCGTGTGCATGTATGCATGTGTGGGCGTGTGCATGTATGCATGTGTGGGCGTGTGCATGTATGCATGTGTGGGCGTGTGCATGTATGCATGTGTGGGCGTGTGCATGTATGCATGTGTGGGCGTGTGCATGTATGCATGTGTGGGCGTGTGCATGTATGCATGTGTGGGCGTGTGCATGTATGCATGTGTGGGCGTGTGCATGTATGCATGTGTGGGCGTGTGCATGTATGCATGTGTGGGCGTGTGCATGTATGCATGTGTGGGCGTGTGCATGTATGCATGTGTGGGCGTGTGCATGTATGCATGTGTGGGCGTGTGCATGTATGCATGTGTGGGCGTGTGCATGTATGCATGTGTGGGCGTGTGCATGTATGCATGTGTGGGCGTGTGCATGTATGCATGTGTGGGCGTGTGCATGTATGCATGTGTGGGCGTGTGCATGTATGCATGTGTGGGCGTGTGCATGTATGCATGTGTGGGCGTGTGCATGTATGCATGTGTGGGCGTGTGCATGTATGCATGTGTGGGCGTGTGCATGTATGCATGTGTGGGCGTGTGCATGTATGCATGTGTGGGCGTGTGCATGTATGCATGTGTGGGCGTGTGCATGTATGCATGTGTGGGCGTGTGCATGTATGCATGTGTGGGCGTGTGCATGTATGCATGTGTGGGCGTGTGCATGTATGCATGTGTGGGCGTGTGCATGTATGCATGTGTGGGCGTGTGCATGTATGCATGTGTGGGCGTGTGCATGTATGCATGTGTGGGCGTGTGCATGTATGCATGTGTGGGCGTGTGCATGTATGCATGTGTGGGCGTGTGCATGTATGCATGTGTGGGCGTGTGCATGTATGCATGTGTGGGCGTGTGCATGTATGCATGTGTGGGCGTGTGCATGTATGCATGT